CGGCAGCGTCCCGTCCCTGCAGCGTCCCATCCCTGCAGCATCCTGTCATGGCAGCATCCCGTCATGGCAGCATCCCATCCCTGTGACATTCCATCCCTGCAGCATCCCTATCCTGGCGGCATCCCATCCTGGCAGCATCCCATCCCGGTGACATCCCATCCCAGCAGCATCCCATCCCGGGAGCATCCAGTCCTGGCAGCATCCCCTTCCAGCAGTGGATGGAACCCGGGCTGGGTTCTGGGATGCGCTGGGTGACTCCACTGGCCATGGGAGCCGTGGGGTTCAGGCCAGTACTCGCAGCCTCTCCCCGGTCGATATGGAGATGCTGCCCTCCCGGGCAGGGCAGGTAGCTCCGCTGTGGGGTTTTGTCTGGAGGCAGCATCCTTAGGAAGGTATTTGTAGTGGTTTCCTGTATAAACAAGCCTCTCGGATGTGCGCAGTGCTTGCAAAACCCAAATAAATGCTAAGGAAGTGTGGATTAGCCAAAGAAATACGAAACCGGGGCTGTGGTGGGCAGGGACCAGCCAGCAGCCCTTGCTTGGGACTGAGGGGCTGTCTGCAGCTGGGAAACCCTCTGGAGAGGGGGGATGAGGAGCACAGCCAAAATATTGCTGGCTGGATCTTGGCTACCACCTCCACTCGGCCCGCTCTGTGCTGGAGCTGGTGCAGGGCTTTTTCCTGGGGCTAACCGAGCCGTGCCAGCAGCTGTAGGGTTGAAGCCTTGCTGTGCTGGGACATGGATGCTGGGATGGAGAGCGCTGCCCACGCCAGGCGAATAAGCCTGATGTACGTGGGGCACTCGGGGACACGGTGGCTGGGTGGCACGGCAGGGCTTGTCTTGCCATGGGGTGGCTGGTGGCACGTGTGCATCCATGGCATATGCCCATCCGGGCCATGTGTCCGTCCATGGCACATGCCCGTCTGTGCCGTGTGTCTGTCTGTGGCACGTGTCTGTCCGTGGCACATGTCTATCCATGGCACATGCCCATGCATGACACATGTCTGTGCCACGTGTCCATCAGTGGCACGTGTCTGTCTATGCCACATGTCTGTCCGTGGCACGAGCCCATCCATGGCACAAGTCTGTCCGTGCCACGTGCCCATCCATGACATGTGTCCGTCCATGGCATGCACCATCCGTGGCACATGCCCATCCATGACACGTGTCATCCGTGGCACACATCCGTCTGTGGCAGCCCTTGGCGTGGTTTCCTTCTAGGGGGTGATTGCTGACTTGAAGCTGAAAGGGGACCCGCGGGCAGCTGAGCGGCAGTGCGAGGAAGAGGAGGATGACACCGAGGTGAGCACTGGTGGCAGCAGGGCCAGGGCAGGGTGGGACTTTGCCACCCCGTACTCCCCGTTCACCCCTTGCCCCTTCTACCCCGGCAAACGCAGGTCTCTGGCGATTTTGGCAGTGGGGCAGAGGGCGGACACCAATTCTCAGGGAAAGTTGGGGTGAGTTGGTACCTGCCAGCGCAGCGCTCGGTGATGGGACCCCAAGATTTTGGGGATGAGGGCTGGCTGCTCTCCAGGGTCAAGATCCTGGGATGCCCGATGGGGTCCCAGTGCTTGTCCCTTTTGGGAGGGCACCGGGAAGTGAATGGTGCCGTGGTGTCCCCTTGTTTGCACAGGGTGTCCCGGGGCTCGTGGATGCTGTCCCTGTCACCTCTCCTCC